TAAAGACCCCTACGCGCAAGCGAATTATTGAAATAAAATTAAAACATATGTTAGCCCCGTAATGACCTAGTCTGTGTGGACGTTAAACCCCATCTCTCTCTCTCTCTATCGTCATGCAGTTGCCGTGGTTGAGGTGAACTGTGTTTCAACAAAATAATCAACAAAAGGGGGGTACAAGAAAGAGTCTAGACACAAAGCTAATCCGCCATTTTCTAGTACGTTATTTGTGAAATATTAATTTTTCTTATCGCGTGTATTCGATACTCGGTATTTTCCGGCGTGGTTCCATCTTGTAAGTGGTGCAGGACGGAGGACCTGGCAAGGGAGAGTATATAGTTCCGATGGAACGAAAAACCTAGGTCCTGTGTAGACATTTGCGTGCACGTAAAAGAACCCTTAGCAGGTGGAATTCAAAGTAAGAGGCGGCCGTAGCGCCGCTGTCCGGACACAATTTCCCTCATTAATTAATGGTCTAATTAATGCTTCCACTTTCAAACGAATTCTTGTTGTTTAGCTGACGGTGCCCTAATCCTATAGAGTGACTATAGACAGACATCAATGATAGCATCTTGTGGAATCGGCGGCGTAAACACTCGTGCCCATCACCGACGCGCATGAGTGCAACTTGATATAGCATTGTTTCGTGTGTGGACAGTGCACAGTACAAGTTACAAGGCTTAAATAGTGAAGTAGCTAGGGTATAGATTCGTCTTTTTTCCCATCATAATGCCTCGCTCGCCTTGACAATTTTCGAGTCGCATGTTCAACTGGCTTTTTTGCTAGATTTTAAGGCTCTTTTTCAACGATTTCCAAACGTTTACTTAGACGAAAATATCAGCCAAATAGCTCTTGGAATGGCTACAGATGCAATGAATTGGCGGATAATTTTCTTGCCCCCCCCCAACCCCCCTCTCAGCGGCGTGCTCCGACTCCGTGGTCAGTTCCCCCATTTTGCGCCCCCCCCCCCCGTTTTCAAAATTCCTAGATCCGCCCCTGCATTTCATTTCATTTATTATCCTAATGTATATTTAATGCCCGGTAGTGAAGGGGACATTAATTCGCCATCATTCGAGATTTATTTATTGAACAATTGAATTTATTGTCAAATATTCAAATAGGTTAATTGGATGAGGTTCGGTTTGAACTACTAAACTAGTAGCAGATAAAGAGGAACTTCACATCGCATTTTCATTCTAAACTAGAAACTATATGTGTAATATGGACGGTCTTCAGATGCTGGTTACTCCGGGTTTGTTTTGTTTTTAGGGTTCAAAGTACAGCCTAAAGCATGGAACAGCCTAAATCCGTCCATAAGAAATGTCTTATCACCCTCAAAATTTAAACAAGAACTCTCTAAACATGATCTGAAAATACCTCTCTTTTATTATATTGGCAAACGTAAAAATCAAATTATACATAGTGAACTAAGACTAGGCTGCAGTAATTTAAATTTTCATAAATTTACAAGACATATTTCAAATACTCCCAAATGTTCATGTAGTAATTCAATAGAAGATCCTTATCACTATCTCCTTATATGTTCCTCGTATTCAGATGCTCACCATAGAACAATCGACACTTTACCTTCGACACAGCAAAACATTAAAGTGCTACTATATGGATCTGAAACACTGACATACGACGAAAACGTGTCAATATTTAGCCAGGTACACAATTTTATTGAAAAAACCGACAGATTTAAATTTTAAAAAAAGCTGATTTTAATTATTTTAAATTTATGTTTACATGTAAATATTTTTATTGGGTTATGTAATTTATTTGTAACCGGGAGAGGGGTTTATATAGGCCTTGCGTGTTCCCCAATCCCCCCAGTTTCTGAATAAATATTGTTTACAAAGAAAAGTACAGAATTGAGTACTTCCGGCAGGATGAGTATGGCACTGGCCGATTCTTTTCCTTGTGATTTTCCAATAATAGTTTTACGTTTTAGGGATGAAGGTTTTGGTAATGACAAGAGTCCATTCGCTCGTGTATAACTTTCCACGATAAACCCCGATTGTTGCAAAAAGTCCATGTTGTTAGATAAATTCAAAAATCAAATTCACCAAATCGATGCAGAATAAATTGTTCAAAAGGCATGCCAATTTTCATGTCGATCGGGCTTGAATTGACGAATCTTAAGGCTTTTTCGAAGAGCGTCACCACAAGAAGGACAAGATGAGTAGCGGTTAGCTGGTAGCTGGTCCAATTAGTAAAACATTAAACCCATGTCATTTCACTATAGAGAAGTTTTGTTCTCCAGTTTCATTCATTGGCACACGTCATTATTAGCTCGCAGCCTTAAACTATAGCGGGTTTGCTGTTTAATTTTTCGAAAATGAGTTGTTTTCGTTGTTGCCTGAAATGATTAATAATCATATACATGATAAAATATAGCAAAAATTGACAAACAAAACAACATTTAAAGCACACAATGTTTTATATATACAGCATAAATTCCTCATCGTCATGAGGACAGCTAAATTGATGATACATTGATGAACAGATTATCGCTAAAACAAATCCATTTTTTCTGAAGGTGTCACAAACAGTACAGATCTGTTTATTGACGCGAGTTATACAGAGAGAGAGAGAGAGAGAGAGAGAGAAATGGGGTTTAACGTCCACTCGACACAAACTAGGTCATTTCGGGACTAACATATGGTTTAATTCTATTTACATAATTCGCTTGCGCGTAGGGGTCTTTAGCAGTGGGAGGAAACCGGAGGACCCGGAGAAAACCCACGAGGTTGGACAGGCGACCCTACTCCTTGCCACGTACAACCGGGGATTCGAAACCACGCCAGTCGACTCAATGACAGACTTTATGATACAGGGCGCGCACGCTAACCATTCAGCCATCCAAAGCCCCGCGAGTTATACAATGTAAGAAATGGCGAGGAAGGGAATGGAAGATATACCGTCTTGATAGATCAATGTATAGGTCAGTTCGAGAATCGAACTACAGCTGTTAATTCATAACTTCTACTGGTATGTCTGGATAATTTTACCGTGACGGTGACTTACTATGTTTAAAGTTTAAATTCCAACTGAAAAAGGAATTTTTGTTTCCACAGCCGGACTAATTCGGCCCGTTAAGATATTTTTTATAGCACCTTTTCTGGTTGGTCAAACCCACTGTGGTACAATCAATTCTAAGAAATCGGTTGAAAGGTCGTGAGTATCATAACATTTGTCTGGCTGAGCCAGTTGAATAACCATACATGTAGAGAGAGAGAGAGAGAGAGAGAGAGAGAGAGCGATGGGGTTTAATGTCCACTCGACACAAACTAGGTCATTTCTGGAGTAACATATGGTTTAATTTTATTTCAATAAATCGCTTGTGCGTAGGGGTCTTTAGCAGCGGGTGGAAACCTGGGGACCCGGAGAAAACCCACGAAGTATGACATGCGACCCTTCTCCTTGCCACGTACAACCGGGGATTCGAAACCACGCCAGTCGACTCAATGACAGACTTTATGATACAGCGCGCGCACGCTAACCATTCAACCATTCAGCCATCCACCCCCCCGCGAGTTATACAATGTAAGAAATGGTGAGGAAGGGAATGGAAGATATACCGTCTTGATAGATCAATGTGTAGGTCAGTTCGAGAATCGAACTACAGCTGTTAATTCATAACTTCTACTGGTATGTCTGGATAATTTTACCGTGACGGTGACTTACTATGTTTAAAGTTTAAATTCCAACTGAAAAAGGAATTTTGGTTTGCACAGCCGGACTAATTCGGCCCGTTAAGATATTTTTTATGGCACCTTTTCTGGTTGGTCAAACCAACTGTGGTACAATCAATTCTAAGAAATCGGTTGAAAGGTCGTGAGTATCATAACATTTGTCTGACTGAGCCAGTTGAATAACCATACATGTAGAGAGAGAGAGAGAGAGAAAGAGAGAGAGAGAGAGCGAGCGATGGGGTTTAATGTCCACTCGACACAAACTAGGTCATTTCTGGACTAACATATGGTTTAATTTTATTTCAATAAATCGCTTGTGCGTAGGGGTCTTTAGCAGCGGGTGGAAACCTGGGGACCCGGAGAAAACCCACGAAGTTGGACATGCGACCCTTCTCCTTGTCACGTACAACCGGGGATTCGAAACCACGCCAGTTGACTCAATGACAGGCCTTATGATACAGCGCGCACGTAGGTGTCAATGAAGGGACAAACCGAGCACACAGAACGGACAACTGCAAATCAGCTTAAGTGGGAATTTTTTCCTCAAACATCACAGCATTATGAAAGTCGTGTGGCACTTTTGGGTTAAATTGATACTTCGGTCCATTCAATTCCTTTATGTCTTTCATATTCGGACAAAAGTTGGTTTGGGCCAGATACAGATTTTAAGATACTTAAAATGAAATAAGTAAGTTTGTGAGTAACAACTGTCTTGTACTACCTACTTTAATTAAATTGATATCAAAAATATTCTTTCTGTAGTGTCACCCCCTTCCGATTAGTAGCTTTTTATTGTGATATTTTAATTCTAATCATTTTATATTTCTCGAAATATGAGTTTATTTTACAAAATTGTGCTAATGTTTTACAAAACTGTCGCAAAACCTGCAACAAAATAACTTTGTCATAACACGTTTTAGGATTTACGATTGTAACAAGATGTCGTCAAACAAGTGAAGTACAACTGATAGTAAATGGCGGGAATTCGAATTAACAGACCATTAAAATTCCAAATAATGCTATGATAATTGTCTCCAGGAATGTTAATAACTTCAAGGAAGGGCCACGAAATTAAGATGTGGGTGTATTAATACTACCACTTTATATGTTTGAAAAAAAAAACCAACAACAACAAAAAAAACGCACCAATAATCTAAGCCTTCATATACAATGTACATTTAATTATGTTTTGAAAGAAATTTTAATGAGTTGCAGTTCAGATTCTGTTCTTTAATTTTACCAATTATTACAATTTTTCAAATCAGAGCAGTTCTAATTCCAAACATCTTTTTATTTATTTTTCAGAATCTGAAACCATGCCATGGGCGACAAGAAAATGGAATTTCAGAGCGTTGATGTTGATTTTGAAGCGGTTTTTAATTATCTCAACAATCCTATATAGTGTGATTTATTTAATTTTTGATACACGTTATAGTCGTCGAATAGCACACTCTTTAACGGCCAGTGTACCCCGTTATGTTTTTCCACTAGACAATAATATGTCGATAAATATATCCGATATTTACCGCCCAATACGTACAAAAACACTGTATCCATTAACTCAATCACGTGACTATTTGCTTAATAATATCAGCATCTGTGATACAGAAATATCGATTTTATTTATTATCCACTCTGCTATTGACAATTTCGAACAACGGCAAAGAGTTCGTTCAACGTATGCCTTAAGGAAACGATATTTACCAAATGAAGTACGAGTTATTTTCTTACTGGGCAGGAAGATCGATAATGGACGCCAAGGGGAGATAATCCGGGAACACGGAGAACACGGTGATATAATTCAAGGTGATTTTATAGATAGTTATCATAATTTAACCCATAAAGGTGTGATGGGATTAAGGTGGGTGTCAGAAAATTGTAGAAGTGTTAAATACACCATTAAACTGGACGATGATGCGGTATTTGATACGAAACTTTTCTTCGATAAAATGTTTGAAAAATATGGTGGAAGAAAGAGGACAATGTGGTGTACAGTTTGTTACAGAAGTGGTATTTTTCGCGAAGGAAAGTGGAAAGTTCGTAAGGATGAATTTAAAGGGTACAAAAGATGGCCGTGGGCTTATTGTGCTGGATTTGCTGTCATTATCACGGGGGATTTACCTCCTGCTTTATACCGTTCCTCTTTAGCTTCCCCATTTTTCTGGATCGACGATGTCTATCTTTTTGGAATGTTACCTCATCGAGTCGGTGGTGTAGGATTGAAAAGTTTACCCCCAGACGCTACACTACAACCGGCATACACTGCCGGAGTGTCTTGTCTACGGCGAGGAAAGGGTTGTCAAACTCTCACTGTTGGGGCCAAAACCCGTACAGAATTTGATGAGGTATGGAATTTGATGACAAAGCGTCATTAGGCATGATCAGAAACACCCAGGCCAGGGAGGAGCGTAGTGATGTGTATTCACATACGTACACCAATTCACCGATTGTGCTTAATTATTATAAAAAGAAATTCGTGTAAAATGTAGGTGGCGATTTAACATAATATTTCACACACAAAAATAAGTTATATTCTTGTCAAAAAAGATCTTGAACATCAGGAATCTCGTGACCAGTTCAGTCATTTTCAAGAGTGATACAAGTACGCTGGTGAAACCGTCGACGATTCTATGCTGATACGTATAGTAAATATGATCATACAGGAAATCCGATTCGTCTAATTTAGAAGAAATTTGTCAGTTCTCGAAGACCAATTGGTTTCATTACAGAGGTCAGGAAGCGACACACCTGGTATCTGTATCTGGTGTCAGTGCCTGTGGACATTGGAAGCATGCGCACGATATGCGCTGGTAATGCCGTCCTTGGTCAAAACGCGTGACCATGATGTTGTGGCCTTTTGGTAGATAGGAGACTACCCCCTATTAATCTGAAATATAGTATTAAATTAAATCTTTACTGGGTTAATACATTGACATATTTCAATGGTATAAAGGTTTTTTTTCATTATTATTTTTGGTTCAGTTGTTTGAGACCATTTATATTATAACTAGCATATATATTTTTTAATATAGGGATTTATACTTAATAGTTATTTTAAATATTTTAATTCATATGTTTACAATTACATGCAGTATATATTTACTTGCTCTAACCCTCCATATTTTGGGGGATCTATCTCCTAGATTGCATAGCCAACTTGCCTCTATAGTTGAACGATATTATATTAAATGAGTCAAATTGCATTGGATTAAATTGTTTTTATAACTGGTTAGTTATACTATACTCAGCCAAATTAAAAACTTGACACTCGGGATTTTTGGGACTAGATTTTTAATATTTGGTTTAGTGTTATGTTGTGCACAGACGACCTTGACATCAACAGAAAGCAAGAATACGTCTCTCCGAAAGTCCTTGACATCGATAACGTTCGTGGTGTCACAGTACCCCCCAAAATGAAATTCACAGACTTGGAGAACAATCGGAATAAAGTGTTTAGTAACGGTTGTGGCCTCATCTAGCGTCTTGTACTGCCACACAACGTCTTCTCATGGATCTCAGAACATTAGTAAACACTACCCGAGGAAGACGTCGCCACTGCTCAGCAAGAGCATGTTGAAGGTCCTGCAACGTCAGTGGTGGATTAAGGTCGTGGCTAAGCGACGGCCAATCCAGGACTTGGACACCGGCATTTCTTAAAAAATTCTGGGTAGCAATTGCTGTATGGGGTCGAACATTGTCTTGTTGAAACGTTAGTCCAGGCCCATGTCTCTGGGCCTCCGAGCTCGAAGACCAGCAGTCTGCAAGCGATTTTGAACAGTTTGTGTAGTTACCCTTCCACCAAACATCTCTCTACTTGTGGAGGTTGCAGTGACAAATCTGTTTCTAAGATGACGTAATCGTATTGCTTGATCTTCCTGAAGTGACGTCACACGTGGCGCTCCCGCCCTTGGGCGGTCGGCAATAGTTCCAGTTTGAAGCACTCTCATTCTAAGATTAATTATTGTCTGGCGTGAACAATTAAAGGCTCTTGCAACAGTGACCACAGACTGACCAGCATAGAGCCTACCTATAGCACGTAGACGTTCTACATTTGAAAGGCGCGGCATTTTCTAACAAAGATGAAAATAACAATTTTAATTTGTTTTTCCAGTTCAAGTTACGTGTGCGTGTTCAGTTTAAGCAAACTTGCACCGATTGACCTCACGAGTTTGTGTTTGCACGTGTTTTTCAGGTTTTTCATCTTTATATGCTCAAAAGTTTTTTTTCCAGTTCAAGTTACGTGTGCGTGTTCAGTTTAAGCAAACTTGCACCGATTGACCTCACGAGTTTGTGTTTGCACGTGTTTTTCAGGTTTTTCATCTTTATATGCTCAAAAGTCACGTGATCCACGTGACTTTACAATTTTATGAAATTAAAGGCTTCTTACTTCTTACTTTCGTTAGAAACACTTTAAAGTTTACTTGACTTACCAGAAAAAAAATTCGTTGAAATTCATCAGTGTCAAGTTTTTAATTTGGCTGAGTATATATTCAAGTCCTTGAAATGCTATATGAAAGATTTAGATAAAATAGTGTGACCAAGTTGTTTCTGGTCTTATTATATTAAGTTTGAGTCCAGATAACATCTTTGTTATATATTCTTATATTTATTATTAAAGATGTTAAATTCTATGTAAAATAAAATATGAATTTTTAAAGATGTTAAATTCTATGTAAAACAAAATATGATTTGGAAATCGAAACATGTAATTTATTTATTAATATGTAATGGTTGTAATGGCAAGTACATTGGAAAAACTACCGATCAGTTGAATTTACAAATTAACCAACATCTTTCTAATATAAAACTCACAAGAAATAGAGTCTTGCCGCTGAGCGAACATTTGGATATTTGTTGTAAAGGTCAATTCAAGATTTTTCCTTTGTGCAAGCTCAATATCCTGTAGTGCTATCAGATTTCTTTCCTTGTTGTGTTGGTTTCCTTCGGGAAGGTAATATATAACACTACAGGTTAAATGGTTCTTACAATAGCTTCGAAGGTTCCTCGTTCTCAATAAACAATTACTGCTTGGAATACCTGGGTGAGCTCTGACCAGTCTCGCGCAACACCCTCTTTTATAACCCCCTAATTTCTGCACGTCTTAGATTAGCCTTGACGTTAATTTCCAGCCCAAATATGGAATAAACATCTTTATTTCTCAAGACCAGAGGGGGGAACATTACCTTATTTGGGCTAGCAACCATAGGTCAATAAACAGATAGAATTTGATGAATACATGTGTTTTTTGACAATGGTTAGGATTTTACCAAAATATCACGTTTTTTATATATAAATATATCATTAAGGACCTGTGATTTGACTCTATAGAAAGAGTGAAGCAAAATTTTTTCAAACAACCAATATTGTTTTAAGGACCAAAGTACTACAATTAGTAATAATGATCTTTTGGAAACAAAAGAAAAAAACTTTATCGCTAAATTATAACCCAATTTTGAATGCTAAGGGGTGATAATTTAAATTACGTTTGATGTTTAATTAATGCTATTTCGTTTTAGTTTTTATATTTTACATAGTCATTTTCCTCTGTTATGAAGTGACCCCTACGCGCAAGCGAATTATGTAAATAAAATTAAACCATATGTTAGTCCCGAAATGACTTAGTTTGTGTCGAGTGGACGTTAAACCCCATTTCTCTCTCTCTCTCTGTTATGAAGTGTTGTTATTGTAAGAGCATAGTAACGCATTAAAATAGCCTGACGATTCGTGTGATAACGATGAAAGTACTAGCCATAAAGTTAATTTTAGCGTTTTTCTCTAATATTTGAATTTTACTTTATATATACATGTATATATTATACTGCTGTATATTTCTTTATCTTTCTCTAGATGAAAAAAATATCAAAACACTCTAGGTTTAAGAGACAATCAACCATAAATATTTAACAGGCCAGACATTGGTCTTAAGTTTCTAATGCTTAATTGATAAAAACAGGTCAAAATGTCAGACTTCTTGTTCTATGATATATTTCGAGGTAGCACATCATACGTAACAACCAACGGACGCTATAATATTATTGGATGGTCAGCTGTAATAACAGTTTCGTTTAAACCCCATCTACAACTATGGTGAATTACAAGTCTTCACTTTATTGCACGATGCTGATTGTGCCTGACTTGTGCCTGACACTTTTACAGAATGATTACTATGAAAACATGTTTTTATGACCGTAATATAAAAAGTTAAATTTATTACAGTTTTTAAGAATGGTATTTAATGCTGTTTTTTCTATTGCAATCTGTGATATTTAAATATATACATATACGTGTTGATTTATTATATTAGATATTTATATTTGAAAATTATATGATCATATAATGTTATTAGGTTAAAATCGAAAATACTACTTAGACGTACGGGGAATGTTCGTCAAGGTATTATTTCGAGACTTCATGGAAATAATGAGATGCAGGCTATTTTTATACCAGTGCGCCCATTATGTTCATCTGGTGCTATAATGTAGTCGCCATTGTTAACATTTTGTATAATTTGTATTGATCATAGTTAAGATATTTTGGGTAGCGCTTATATTCATTTAGATGTGGGAATTTAAATAAGGATATTGGTTTAAAGGAGCTAAATCGCTAACATTTGGGACCTAGAAATTCACAAAAGTGGGTCGCAACGCATATAATACTGTAATATGAATGTATATAAACTGATTTACATTTAATGGTTTCCGTTTTTACTCCAATTTCAAATCAGTTATGTTCGGCGAAATAAGTCAGCAATCTCAATCGAGTGCCAATTTCTAGCGTCTAGTTATTCTAGTCTACATAACTCCATTTGGTTTGGTGCAATGTGTCTAGCCTCGTCCCTCGAGTCTCTCAATACAACTGGGGCTGAAGCGCATTATGGTACACGATTCGTGTACCAATGTTAAAAAAAGTATTTTATCTTAAATATCGGATATCAGAAGCTCATCTTTTCCCGGTAAGTTTACATCATCAATGTTGATTTAAATTGACCAATAATTCGTGTTTTCGATGTCGAAGATTTTGGAGGATTTTGAGTTACGGACTTAGGTCCTTTAATTGGATGTCAAAAAAAAGTGTGTTATACAGATTCGCTAAATTCGAATTACTTATCCTTTAAAGATTTGTCGTGAATTCCATATAATAGCTCATAATTAATTTTCGAAATATTTGAAATAAACATTTTATTTTGCAAATTAAAGAAACAATATTTTTTTAATTTTGTTCGGATTATTAATTCTTATTGTTATTCATATTTATCTTTTTCCATTTTGGTTATATCTCAGAAACTACTTGTCATCGGTGGGCCCAAAAAATCGAAATCATATAGTTTTAAATTTGGAGAACTCTCCAAAATAATGTTCAATATGTCAAAATATTACAATCCGATTTTGTATGTTACATTTTTTAGGGCAAAAATCTATACAATTATTTCAGGTTTAGTGTTCTCCCACCATATTGATTTACCCGAGGTTAATTTTGTTTAAAAACCTATAGCTTTTAAAAATTAAAAAAAAAATATCAGTCACTGTCATAAACACGAAGCATTATATACAATCAAAGCTACGGCAACAGTAGTTGTAGTAGCAGTAGTAAAATACAAAAAGGTAATAGTAAAACACAAAACTGTCTGCGATACGTGAACGCGTAGGCCTATATAAGGCCCTTTGCAGTAGTGGCCAACACAAGAGTATCAGAGATATTCAAGGCGGAGGCGCTAGAGTAGAAGTAAATGAAATGGGGTTTAACGTCCTATTGCTAATGAAGATAGGCATACGCCATGGAGTGTGCAATGATGGAGAGTGGCGCTATAGCCTACACACATATCGAATTCCAACCCCAAGGGTTCTTTTTCGTGCATTTACCAGTACCTCCAGGTTAGAGAGCCAGTGGTGGTGGGGTGGTGGGGTGGGGGGCGGTATCATCGTTATAAACAAGGTAAAAGGAATCTGCTCTGAAACCACATTTTATTCTACCACAACCACGCATAGCAACAGTAAGGAGATATTCCCCACGGCCCGCACTATCAAAGGGCAATTTTTACCAAAACTTTTAATAGATCAGTAAGTTTACTAAAAGGTTTTTAATTTCTGAACAATTTATAGGAAATTGCGTGTTAATTGTTTCTATTATTGATTATCTTCATGGAAGACTTGCCATGTGTTGATAATATCAGAAATAATTGAGATAGAGAAGGTCCCAGGAGAGTGAAGATAAATTATGTATATAGACACGTGTTAACATGATATATACGTGAATTAATAATTTACACCGTATAAGACCTACTCTAAGACGGATAACCATTAATTATAGGTTTATAGCAGGATTACTGTAAAATGATATTTCTTACATAGTCTCCCAGGTTGTATTTTGTGCAATTCTGGAGATCGCCTTTCATTAATAGGTAACAAGTCATAAAACTTTAGTTTAAATAAGATCAGCTTAATTGAATATAACCATAACTAGCTGAAATAAGTATGCGATTGTCATACGTAGTCACATTTGACCAATTACCCTAAATTGGGGTCCACACTAGAAAGGGGCCTCGCAGCTCACCAATTTTTCCATGCAATCTGTCAGCAGAGCTTCTCAGGTGTGACTTTTGTTCAGGTAATAATCAATTACTAATTGTAAAGTAAAGCAAAATTGGCCTTAAATATCAATGAATAAAGGCCGAGTTAAAGGGCCAATCCCGATAATATTTTGGAGAATAAAACTGCTTAATTTTGTGTTAAAACTCCTTAATATCCCGTACCTAAGGGCCGAGCAACTTATTCAATATTTGTGTATGTTTTCAAACAACTTACTCCCGTCAGTCTTCATCTGGAAATGGAGACCGGTGTCCCAAGCTGTATTATGCGGTGTCTGGATAAAACCAGACTTTTATTTTATAAAAATCATGTTTAGGTGAAATTTACCTTTCGTTATCAAGTACAACACATGGTTCATTCATTGTATAAACCTCTCAGGGAACGGGAATCGATTATCAGGTCACCCAACGAAAAAAATGACCCGAAATCTTAAAAGGGTTACGTGTCCGGATAAGCATTTTTGACGTTCACATCCAAACAACTCAATATTTTGAGCTGAAATTTCGAGGCAAGGTAAATACACCATTCCTCTATATTATGGCGCTTAAATTTCATACGAACTTTTGTTTTTGAGACTCTGTTCAAATCGGGATAGTCCCTTTCAAGTTTTATATATCCTGCAATGTATTCATATCCTGACCCTCCCCCTTCCCCAACTGGGCCCCCCATTTTCTACAACCGACCTTCTACGTAGTGGGTTGTAATGGGTAGTATTTGGTAAGTCGTCCTGTCGGTTGAAAAAGAGATCTCTTTGTATAGTAGCCTCCCATGTGCTCCGGAAAAAAGGAAGCATAATAATGTTACTAAAACTTAGGAAAACAAAGTGGTTGTGGCCCGCACATTTTACAAAATTAAATATGGGGAAATATTTAATTTGAGAATGTATTTTTTGTATTACTTTGTGCCCTGGTCTAGCTAGTGGTATTTATATTATGACAGTGTATGTATTTAAACTCTATACACCTAATATGCAAAGGGGGGCACGGTGGGTAAGACGCTGGCTCGCTAGCATGGAGGTCGGGTGTTCGATCCCTGCATTGGCCGAGAAAGTTCATCCAGATGCAGGACGGAGGGCCGGAGGGTCTGACAAGGATAGCTGTCTAGTCGTTCGAATGGGACGAAAAACCGAGGTCCCGTGTACACATTGGCGGGCACGTAAAAGATCCCTTGACAGTTGGAATTCGATATAAGAGTAGGCCGTAGTGCCGCTGTACGAGCAAAATTTCACCCATAGCACAGTGTATGGCGTATGTCCGTCTTCATTATCCCATTTCGGAGCAGAACAGTAGGACGTTAAACCCCATTTCATATTATTTCATTTCTTTTCATTTCCTAATATGCATCCAAACAAAGTTTGCTACAAAAGCTATCAGGTAAAGGGGGATAATCCGTATTTACATGTATCGGAATCACTTCATCGAAGGGCATTCCCACAGAATATCGTCCCAGATGTCATATGAAATGACGTGGGACTTAAATACCACTATGTGAGCTAGTGAAAATGACATGCGCCACATCGTCTCTTCATCGAATTCCTGGGGTTCTTCTATGTGCATACCAACGAGTACACGAGTCGCTTTTACCTGCAAGGCCTTCCGTCCTGCAGCATAGGTTAGAAAATCTTGCGGACCTGTCTAGGCTAAACCCGTGATCAAACCTTGGGCCCCCTGGTTAGTGAGCTCAAAGATCTATCATGTCTGTCTCCCCGGGAATGTAATTATCTTTTCCATTGACAGTAGGTCGTAACATGTAAAGCCACAAATTCTAAAGTTTAAAGGACAATATTGGTCTCAGCAATTATCACATATGTGATATAAACTGGTTAAGCACGCTTCAAATATAATTTTAACAATGAGATCATTGCAACGATAGATGCGTACCGACGATATGAAGAAACGGAAGTGACGCAAAAAACGGACGCGCAAGGCTCTTTCCTGTGGGAGGAAACCGTAGTACTCGGAGTACGCTCATACCAGGGATCGAAACAACAACCGCAAGCCAGTGGTTACCGGCCAGCTAGAGGTCGAAGCGCGACACTAGGCCATATCAACCCCCCTAAATTAATAGTAGGGGAGCTAGCTGACCGTTGTTCCTAAACTCGCGATAACTTCAGTCAGTTTTATAGAAGGATAACTCGTATTTTCCTTTTGCTTTTTTCACTTCCATCTCTTGAAATCATCGTTACGCATCTATCGTATCAATAATCTCTGTGTTAAAATTACTTTCGGACCATACCCTATTAGATGAAAAAGGAATCAAAGTTGTCGGTCATATTTGAAATAAACATGTCGATCGGGATCACAAGGGGGCGTTCTGAAGTGCAGAAACCAAGTGATATTCTCTTCTGAGGGGTACTTTTTATAGGTAAATTGTGGCACCATTCTCACGAAAGAAGAATTTCGTCCGCCACACTTGAAACAAATCAGTCTTCTACTAGTTCTAGCGGGATTTTGTGATGTGTTCAGCTTGGAACCCGTTCTGGGGTAGGAACCCAGAGTAGTACATGTATTTATTCTGAAGTCGTGTTTTATTTACTTTGGGACCATACCCTTTCAGCTGAAAAAGGAATCAAAGCTGTCCGTCATATTTTGAAATAAACCTACGCACTCGGGTCACTAGGGGGCGTTCTGACACCAGAAGCCAAGGGATTTTTTGTTCTGAAGGGAACTTTTCAAGTTTGCCTTAGCAACGTAAACAAATGTAGCAAAGATTAACTTTGTCCGCAAAAATTAGAATTTTTCAGCGATTTCGGGGACGTACAGCCCCTAAACCTAGCGGATGTGCAACTTAAGAATTCCCATTCTGATCATCGCCCATGATGGTGCCTCTGTTTGGCCTAGTGCCAATTTTGTCCACGAGTTTAGGAATAACGGTCAGCTAACTCCCCTATTATAATGAGAATCAAATTGCCAAGTATAAGTTCTATAATAATAAACATAACAGAATGAAACATTTCCGACAAATAGTAGTAGTAATAATAAGAAGAACAGTCAAACATAGATGGTATACATATTTGAAATCAGCGAACCATACTACAGATTTTGATAGTACAATTCAATATAAATAAAATAGAAATATACATTATTTACATAAATCATTTCAGTAAA